AAGGGGGCCATGGCACACACAGCTCCTCTGAGAGACTAGCAGTGGAGATCAAGTCGAGTCTCCCCGTCACGCTAGCTCTGGGTATCCTACACAGCCCACCGCTGATGGCTGATGACCCCCAGCGGCCATTCAGGCCTCGGTGCACGGGTGAGAGACGCCACTGCCAAGACAGTCCATCACCCCCCACACCTTCCATCTGATGGGGGACTTCAGCCAATCACATGCTGCTTAAGGTGTGTCCCCCTGGGGCCACACTTAACAGAAACAAATATCCTCATGCGCTTGCTCCTCCTCTTTTTTGGTTCCCTGCTCTCCTGGTGTTCGCGGGATCTTTGGTCGTGTAAGTTTTCCCTCAATTATTAAAAACTAAGGCTTTTATATTGAGCTGGTCTGGTTATTTATCAATCGACCACACCCCTTCATCCATCAGCCATAGTTCTGCCCTGCTGCAAGAAGGCGTCTACAGAGCCTGCTATATCTCTGGAACAACTACAACACAAAGGCAGGTCTGATGGGAAGATGCTTTTTAAAAGTGGATTCCCAAATTGGAAGAAAAGATAGTGGAGTAGATGCGTTTGCCTGAGAACGCAGAACTAGAGATGTGTTGGGGAAGGGTACAGGAGAGCATGGCCCCAGCAGATAAAAACGTGCCGTTAGAAAATGCCAGCCTGTAGAATGGAGCCGCCCCTGCTGCTCACCATGCTGGGAGGAGAACATAGGTCACAGTGCTGCCTGAGGCCCACTTGGAGGGGAATGGAGGAATAGAGAGTGGGAGGATGGGAGCATTGAAGACATGGGGGACATCATGGAGCCACTACAACTGCAGCCCTGCTGCTCGCTCTTCCGGGAAGATGGGAGATGAGTTTGAGGCACTGCCCACAAGCTGCAAACAGTGCCTGGTGGGCTTCTGGTCAGCCAGCACCATAGACAGGTAAGTGTTGGCGGCCTGGAGCTGATCTTGTCCTCAGATGCACTGAGCAACCAAAAGACCACCCTGACTGGGCAACAGCAGGCTATCCGAGATGAATCTGGGCAATGGTCCAGGATTTATGCTGCTTCAGAAGCTAGAAACCTTGAACTCATTGTAGTGAGTATTTGCACTAAAGCTGATCAAAACTATACCATGTGGCATGCTGCAGTTTGCAATGCCACTTTAACGCATAAGCATGAGATAGAGAAGTGGGAAAGATGGAGGAACAGAGCAGTGGGTGGGAGGTAGAGAGAGGCAGAACAGAGGTAATAGGTATGGGAGAAGGCTGCAACGGATCAGGGTTCATTACGTGGAAATTGTGAATAATCAATAAAAATAATACATTGAAAAAAAGAGCAGTAGAAAACAAATACAGTAAATTTTATAGAAAGTACATATAAAATAAAAGAAGTATACTCGTCTTAAGTAAACAGCTTAAATTTTCACCTTTTGTATATTAATCCACAGATGTATCTAGCTCAGGCTATGGAAAATACATAAAGTTGGTTCTCTCCTTCAGCTTCCCAGGTCACAACCCCTATAAGAAGAAAAGGTGTTTAAATCTGCTTACATATAGTGCTTTGACAAGTGTGGAGGACTTTCCTTCCCATTAAGTAATTCTGTAGACACTACCTGTGCCCTACAATTATGCTATGCTACCAACCAACAGTTAATGTGGACTCCATGAATTAATGGTACACTCTCACTAGAACATTTTACAGAACCCAGGAGAGTGGCTTCTGTGCAAATGCCAGTTTGTTATGAAGGATTCCACTCAAGAACAAGGAGATGGAGAGAGGCATAGGGTAAGGGAGGAGGACTCTAGTGGCATCCACACTGTTCACACAAAAAGACAGCTCTGACCTTCACAGGAATAAGAGTTTATTCTAGAGTCAAATATGAGTGACCATGGCTTAATCATATGAACTGAAGTTAGCCCCAAAACTGTGCTACAGTGTTGTAGCACGTACATAAATTTTTACTGCAAAAGAACAAAGTCACAAATCAACAATTTTTTTTCAAATACATTGGTAGAAACACCAGATGGGTTATGAGGTGTTGCATGACTAATAAAAACCCAAAGATAGATATTAGGGTTCAAGCTGAAGATCAGAAATATAAAGCAGCCAAGCCACTAACTAGAGAGCTCTTACCTCTATGAAAGCTTCAGACTGAAAGAGAGAGAGTTCCTGTCTCAACCTGTCTTTTATTCCTCTCTAGTCCTGGGATTAACGGCATGTACTACCGCCACCTGGCCTCTATGGCTAACTAATATGGCTGCTGGGATTAAAGGTGTACACCACCACTGCCTGGCTTGTATGACTGACTAGTGTGGCTAGCTTTGCACTCTGGTCTTCAGGCAAAATTTATTAGTTAACTCATAAAATATCACTATAATGAGGATTACAGGAAGGTAGGGAAATCTCTATTATGGGCATTAGATTTTGTCTGAGGACATTCTTAGACTATTAGACTCACAGACACCAGAGGTCTTTTCAGAAGGTGATTTGATAGACACATTATGTCTATTTAGCAAAACAGTAGTAATAGCCTACCCTAGTAGGATCTATACCCTGCCCCGGACACAGGCATTTGACGAAGTATAGTACCGAACATGGATTTTCTGCTGTGCAGTGCACCTCAGATCCAACCAGAAAGCCATTGGTTACACCCCTATATAGTCATGGCACTACTCCACCAATAGGTTCTTATTACCCTCCCAGCTCTTTGCTTACTTTCTGTTTTAATATAAGATCTTACTAAGTTTCCCATCTGACTCCTGAATTTTAGGAAAATGAATGTGTTTGACAGGTTAGGTCTTCTTCATGCTATCACAAAATACCTGCCAAGACAACTTAGAAGAAGGGTTTGTTGTTGTTGTTGTTTGCAAAATTCCAAGGTTTCAGTCCACCGTGGTTACTGAGGGGAGTGAACCAGGGCAGGGTAAATTATGGCACACAGGAATCAGTGCAGAGCAGAAAAAAGGAAAGGCTCAAAGACATAACCACATTGACCCACTTTCTCCAGCTAGCAGAGTTATACCAGCTCCTGATGTGGGAAGTTCTTCTGTATATGTGTGTCTGTTATTGATTGATGAATAAAGCTGTTTGGGCCAATAGACCAGCAAAATATAGGTAGGTGGAAGTCCAAACAAAGATACAGGGAGAGAGAAGAAAGAGTCAGGGAGACACCATGTAGCCACCCAAGGAGAAAGATGCCAGAATAGAGACAACATCACAGTCATGTGGCAACACACAGAGCAGTAGAAATGGGTTAAGTTATAAGAGAGAGCTAGCCAGTAATTGCCTGAGCCATTGGCCAAACAATTATATTTAATATATTAGCCTCTGAGTGATTATTTCCTAAGTGGATGCTGGGACCCAGTGGGCGGGAGAGAAGCCAGTCCAGAGGGACCAGGCAAGACAGAGAAAAGCTTCCAGCCGCAGTCTCCCAGCAATCTTGAATCTAGCATGAGTTAAGCTATCCATTCATTTAATTAGAGCTATCATGAACTAATTAGCTCTCAAAATTCCCTCAATAAACATATTTACAGATGTGTTAAACTGACCCCCTACTCTTTGGGCATCTCTCAGTTTAGTCAAGTTGGCATTATCAACCGCTACAGTTAAGCAACATTGTATCCCATGGCACAAGCAATAGCACAGTTGGAGCTGAGCTGAGGTTTGGAAAATAAGCAGTATTAGCTATTGAAGGGACCTACATTTTATATGGGGTTTCCGGCTCAAATATATATAGTTAGATAGGTAGTTGTGAGGTAGGGAAGCCTATTTGGAGGCTCTTGAAATTATTCCAGACAATAAATGGTAGAGAACACAGAAATAGAAATCTATAAGAAGGATGATCTTCACATGTATTAAGATTGGGTAACTAGTGAGCTCAAGGAGATCATGTAATAGAGGGATGTGCTAGCAGAAAGCTAAACCTGTTTTATGGGTCTATTTCCTCATTTTCTTTTCTCACCTAGAATAACCCTCTAACTAAATGTTAGCGTATGTGGACACTTTGTCTATAATTCAAGCACTCTGAAAAAGAAAGAGAAATCTGGAGCTAGAATCAGAGTCTGTTCTTGCAAGGACAGAACATTCAGAATGACATGTGCCTGGCTTACCAAATGATTTGCTGATCCCCTTAAAGAATGCCACACAGTGCTCAGCACTGGGCTTCACGGCTCACATGGTGGACCCACAGAGGTGGCAATAGCTCCTTCAACATTGGAAAGCAGAAGCCAGGGCTGTTGTCCCTGTATGTGAGCTCTATATCCACCGCTGTGACCACCTCATTCATGTTCCCTTTGTGCTACTGCTGTGGGAATTTCAGACAAGGGCCGACTCACACAACAAGCCAAATGATTCGGGGGTGGAAGCTTCTGGGGACATTAGGATATGACACACACATGTCTTCATACTTTACACCCATTCCCTGATGTCCATGCATATGCTTCTTCCCTAGAAGCCCTTGGCTCTGATCCTTCAATCTGAACAATTAGAGAAGATTCACTTCCATTCATGAGTTCATAACTATGTTATCACCTTGGCTCGCTGCTCCACCCAAGACGGAGGACCCCATACACTGCTCAAAGCACTGCCAGGGGACGATGCCCTTTTTTATTCTTTCTAAGGCAACTCTTGTTAGATTTTAATTGGAATCTCCTCACCCAGTCTCTACTTCCTTGCACTTTTTGTCTGTTTTAGTCATGACCTTTCCCTTTCTCAATAAGCTTCTTTCATCCCTTTTCCTACCTCGGAATCACCTCCTCCAAGAGTCCAGCTGGCATTCTTGTCCATCTAGAGACATGACATTGAGCAGAAGGGAGGAAGAGCACAGGTAGGCTGAGACTTTACATGGAATATTGTGGTAATTATTTTATTCAGGGGGCAGTGATAAGAAAACTGAAAGGGGAACTCAGCTTGAATGATGATGAAAAGCTCAGGATGGAAGAGCTAGCTCTCCCCAACCTTGAGAATTTTTGGAAAATCTGTGATATCTCCAGACTTCTCATGGAACGTTGTATCGACACAATATCATTTTATTTGAGTGCTGGGGGGAAGAACAGCTCTACAAGGCTTGCTACGGAGAATATTAAATAAACGGGAGATTAAAATTATACACTCAGGAAGCACGAGAGGAGAGTGAAGGCAAAACACAGTGCCAACTGAGAACTCGGAATCCGGCGTTGAATTCCATCTCCGTCGTCCCGGTTGCAGGATCTTGGCCAGTCAGATTCACCTTGATGATCCATGGTGTCCTCATCTGCCCAACCATAATAAAAAGGGTTAGTGTGAGTATGAAATAAAACAATACTTAAAACAACATATCTGATATAGTTCTTGGTCCAGGCTACATAGCCTGTAAATAGCCATCAAAAAATCTCAGGAAAACGTGACATTCTTCAAGTGATAATAATTGTGGGTGTTTTCCCCAAGAAGACTTGCCAGCAATTCTATGCCCATACAAACTATACCATCTTTACCCTTGCAAACAAACCATCCAACTCACAAATGTTTTTCTTTTTTTTTTCATTCTTTTATTTATTTATTTATTTATTTATTTTTTTTTTAGTTTTTTGAGTCAGCTTTTCTCTGTAGCTTTGGAATCTGCCTTGGAACTAACTCTTGTAGTCCAGGCTGGCCTCAAATTTACAGAGATCCACCTGCTTCTACCTCCCAAGTGCTGGGATTAAAAGCGTGCGCCACCACTGCCTAGCTAACAAATAGTTCTTAAGAAGGCAGGCAGATTGGAAGCTGAGCATTGTGGCTCAGGCCTTTAATCCCAGCACTTGGGAGGCAGAGGCAGGCGGATCTCTGTGAGAGTGAGACCAGCCTGGTCTACAGAGCGAGTTCCAGGACAGGCTCCAAAGCTACACAGAGAAACCCTGTCTCGAAAAATAACAAATAATAATAATAAAAGAAGAAAAGAAGGTAGCCTGGGTCCCTCTCCATTCTCTCACACATAAATACAACATTGTTATATTTCAAGTGCCACCTACAGATAAACTTTGAAAAGGGGCATATTTACCAAACACATAGGTATGTAGTATTTTGACCCTACACGTGCCTGCCACCTGACACATTGATGCTGAGCACTTAGGATCAACCTGTTCACTGCTCACTTAAATCTACGCCTGTGCCACGACCAGAATGTGGAGGACCTCAAAGTTGTTTAGCTTCTATTCAAGTGCAGTTGGAGGAAACTTGAATTTACAGCCTTGATTTTTGGGCTTCTATTCACAACTGTGTTATAGCAACCACAATCACATTGGTGCCATAAGCACACATAACAAAGAGACACGCATAACAACAGGAAGCTCTACACAAGTAAAACATATGAGACCCCCGTAGACTTTTAGATTTCACCCCAGAACCCATATCTAAGCACCTACATCTTATTCCCCTTTGCTAAGATCTCAGTTTCCATTCTCCAGATAGCAATTCAGGGTAAGGGATGTCTCTTGCTGCCTTTGAGCTTGGCATAGCCATGCAGCCAATCAACAAAGACTCAGTTCTCCCCAGAACAGACGTCTTTCATTGGTCCCCTCCCCATTTATTTAAGCCTATTTAAATGCATCAAAGCATGTCATATGTAAGCAAACAACCCCTCAATCCTATACGCTACTGCTCTATATAGAAATATGATGAGAAGCTGATGAACACTCAAGAAACAACAGTGACTTAGACCAGACAAGGCCTGTAAGAGTCCATTTAGACTATATGTTGGTGGCAGTCTTACTAGGATGCACTAAGCAATCCACACGTCTCCATCTTCCTTCCTCAGCAAATGGTTCCACTTTTCATCCAATAATTAAGATAACATGGAAGAATCACCCTCCGTTTGTCTTTCTTCTCACTCATGCCTCCCACATGACTCACTGTGTCCTGTTAATGAGACCACCACCTGTATGTATTCCAAATGGAACCCCTTCTTACAATTGTAGGATTACCTTGTCTGGTCTAAGTCACAGTTGTTCCTTGAATGAATTATTCATCTGTTTCTCGTCATATTTCTAGCTTCACCTTTTACCCTCTGCAGTCTATTCTCCCTGCAGTGGCCAAAGAGACTTTGAAAGGTCAGCCAGAAAAGGGAAGAAGGTACACTGCCAACCATTTAGGTCAGTCACTAAGACAAGAAGCAAATGAACCAACTGGGCCCTGAGTCTTCTGCTCGTACACTGCCTCGGGTGTAACCCACAAATAAAACAGGCAAAAAACAAAACATTTCCCTGTGTGTTAATACACTGACAATAAAAGAAAGATCCGCAGTGGCATGCCACTTAGTCATGTCATAGCATGTCAGGATGTGCCATGGCATAACATGTCATTTCTGACACTCAAGTGGACCCTTAACAGGATGGCAAGATGGGATTCTGTTTCTGATAATGCTGACTAAGTTATTGGACTTGAAGATGCAGAATCTAAAAGAGAAACATAGGGTTCAATGAGATGTCAAAGAGCAAGATCATGAGCTTATATCTGTTCCCTTACTTCTTACAGAATGAATGAAGTCAGCATAGTTAGGGTGCCCGTGAGGTAACCATGACTGCAGACTACTTCATCATAAAACACAGAGTTTGTTTCCTGCTCACTATGTCTCCAGTGTGGGCTGATAGCACACCATAAACCATGATTTTCTTATCCCTGCTTTAGGAAATTCCCAGACTAAGAGTACACGGACTATGAGAAGCAGCATTAATTTGTTTACTGTTCTTAATCCTCAGCCCGTGCCCACAATGCAAAGTAGATGTCTTTATCTCACTGTTACAGGTTCATATGCAGGGCTGGGGGAGGCTTGGGCTGTTTGATGGCTCTAATAACTCTCTGCTATGGTGAAAATAGAAAAATTCAGAATCACTTTAAAAGCTTCTGTTTCCCAGTTGATGTGTGGTTATAAGTGTGTCGCCCCGAGAACTGCGTTCACCCACACCTAATCGAAAGCAGAGGGGGATTCCTGAGTCCTTGGGCTCACTATCCCACCCACTTCACTGACTTCTTTCTGGTCCTCCTGGAGCTTGGTCAGCTTCATGAGTCTGCACACATCTGGCCATCTATTTCCTGAGATGCCACTCAGAGGGAGCTTCTCCAGTTAAAAGAAACTGAGCCAAAGCTAACTGACCAGAATTGCCGAATAAGAAAACTCTTTTCTGCATTCTAATTTCAAAGTAAAGAAGCAGTTCACAGCAAGGCATGGAAATCTGAGGAGTTTTGGGTACGGGTTGTCTTAAAAAGCAATTTTTGGTGGTGCCAGGGATTGAGCCCAGGGTCTTATACTTAACACACAAGTGCTTTATCACCGACTCATACACATGGGCCCAGAAATCCACTTCCTTCCACGTTCACCTGTGTCCTTTCTATAATAAGACAAAGTTCTTAGTTGGTAAAGACAGCCTCAAATGCCCTCATATGGCACTTATGCAGTCAGGAGCCTAGGCTGACACCTTTTGGAAGGCTGTTAGGTCAAATGCAATGGGGGGGGGCATCTGATGAATATTCAAAAGGCAAGAACTCTCAGCCTGAACATCACACTTCCGAACGTCCTGGTTTGTGCACATCTAACCCTCAGATCTTTGCTACCTCAGCAAAGGTGAGCAAGGGTTCTTTATATCCTGCTGGCTTCCCCCAAGCCACTCTCTCAAGAATGCCAAGTGTGATATGGGAGAGTTGGCAAGGAGATTCAGGGGCGACTACTCACACTGAACCCAAATACAAAGTCTCCTGACACACGGCAGATGGCACTTACAACACACACCTTAGCAAGGGCCAACATTCCTGTGTCCCCGCAACACTAACGGCCATCAAGACATAGGTATTCATTCCTCTCAAACATGTGCTCCTTCCTCTGTGCTTCCTTCTGCCCACTCCTTTCTATCCTCTTCCTCGTGCCCAAATACCTGCTGACCTCTCTTCTATCAGTACGGATTAGTGTGCACTTTCTAGAATTTCATTGCGGTTATACAACATATACCTTTCTTCAACAAGCCCACTTGTTTTGTCGTTTACCCTTGCTATGCGTACCAAGAGTTCACTTCTTTTTTATTGCTGTGTAGTGTCTTACTGTATGGATCTATACACTGTGCTTTTCTATTAACTTTTATTTTTGGATATCTGGGGCATTTTTTTGTTTTGACAACTACAAATGATGAACACTCATAAAAGTTTTGTATGGACGTAAGCTTTTATTTCTCCTGGATGCAGATCAAGGAGTGGAGAAGCTGGTGTATGTTTAATGGTTTAAGTCCCCCTCAAGCTGTTCTTCACAGTGACTGTATTATTGTACTTTCCATGTGCTATGTAAAGGTTCTGGTTTTCCATATACATGTCAAAATTCAGCCCGCTATCTCTGTGTTAGTAAATGCAAGCCACCAAGTCTCTAGTCCTGTCTTACTGTGACCTCGGTTACCGTTTTCCCAATGGCTAATGATACCAGGCATTTTTTTCATGTATTTATTTTCCAGTCACAGAGCTTTGGGCAAGTTCCCCCATCTTTATGTTATTTTTTTCTTATTATGGATAAAACTCGGATTTTATTCATGTAGAGTTTTTTCCCTATATATGTGTGAACACTTTGAAGTTTAAAACATTTTTAAGTACACACATGAGTATACAATGTACGTGTATATAAATACATCCTAATTTGTCCACAAAAAAAAGAATGTTTTGCAAGAACATGTCAAAGAGTAGACTCTCCAGAAAGCTCAAATCCAGCGCCCATGCTGCGGAACCTCTTCTTTAGCTATATCTGACCATAGAGGTTTCCCTTTAGGCAACGGAAGGCCAGAACCCAGAGTCAGGGCTGGCTATGTGCTAACAGGAAATGCTGCTGTAACTGATAAGACAGGAGCCATGGCACAGCTTATAGGGTTCCTGTGGAAACACAGGAAAGGTACCCGAAGCTGGCAAAAGCCAAGTATATCCACTACAGGACAGGGAGCTTAAGTACATGGATTCAGAAGTCAGACAAGCTGGGCTTTGAATCGCCTCTGACTAAAGGCCCGGGGATCTTGAACAAGCTTTGCACAGAAATGTTCAACGAAAGAATTCTAGGCAACTCTGACTTAGATCATAAAAGCGGAAAACCATTGCCCGCTACCTTAGACTGCCATGGAAGTCTTCTATGGAAGAAGGGTGAAAGGAAGGGTTTGTAATGTGTCTACACAGCATATGTAAACAGGGCTTGTTTACATATGCTGCTTCATTTGGTCCTAATAGCAACACCAATTCATTTTAGCAACCAAAAGCCTGCCACAACTTGAATTGGACGGGCCCCAAAGGCCCATGTGGCTAACTAAGTCTTGGGTTCCTGTGTTAGGAGGCAGGAGACTCTGTAAGAGCTCTAATAGGTCTTCCCATCCTTGGAAACATACTCTTGGAGAGGAATCCTCCTCTGCTTTTCTCTTTGGTTCCCGGTGGCACCCACAACCAGAACCTGCTCCCCACGAGTGTGAGATAGTCACCAAGAGCCCCAAACTGGACGCCAGCCAGCTGTGGGTGAAAACTGTGAGCAGAAAGAAACCTTTCTGCCTCTAAGTTGATTTATCTGAGGCATTTGCTACGGTGTCAACAGGCTGACTAGCACAGAAGCTGATTCGGAGAGGCTGTTACTTCAGTAAGTCACCGGCTTGCTTCCCAGCCCTGACCCCAGGTGCCTGGCCCACAGATGAAGCCTCCCCGTCAACATCCCTGTGTGCTTCCCCTCAGGGTGGCTCCTCCCACCTGCTCTGTCTCTCCCAGTGACTTCTAATTTTTGTTTCCCTTGGCTGAAACTGAGCCAAACACAGTGAGGGTGTAATTTCACACGGCTTATTTTTAAGCAACTTTTAACCATTTTGAACTTCCTCCTTACTTTATTTTTCCACTGCCCTTTCCTCTGCTTCTCCTAACACATCCGGCCTGGTTTTTTAAACTTTGTGTTTAGGGAACACAAAATAAGATCTGAAACTTTTCCATTTTCTTTTGTTGCCCGAAACGTCAGGGACAGACACATTTAGGCAGAGGCAGCGCCAGCCCAAAACCTCTGTTTAGCTTTCTTTAGTGTCTCCTGACAGGTGCTGACCAACTGTTGATGTCTTCATTTAAGTAGGTTCCTCATTCTGTTTTGAAAGTCATTTGTTATGGTGCAGTTTCAGCCACTGTGTGTGTGTGTGTGTGTGTGTGTGTGTGTGTGTTTCTGTGTGTGTGTGTCTGTGTGTGTGTGTCTGTGTGTGTGTGTCTGTGTGTGTGTGTCTGTGTGTGTGTCTGTGTGTGTGTGTCTGTGTGTGTGTGTCTGTGTGTGTGTCTGTGTGTGTGTGTCTGTGTGTGTGTGTTTCTGTGTGTGTGCGTCTGTGTGTGTGTGTCTGTGTGTGTGTGTCTGTGTGTGTGTGTCTGTGTGTGTGTGTCTGTGTGTGTGTCTGTGTGTGTGTGTCTGTGTGTGTGTGTCTGTGTGTGTGTCTGTGTGTGTGTGTCTGTGTGTGTGTGTCTGTGTGTGTGTGTCTGTGTGTGTGTCTGTGTGTAACTAAACATTGATCCTTGAATCAGAACTGTGTTCTATGCTGTCAGATTTAAACATTTTGACTTCCATAGCATGTTTTAGTTTTTTAGTTGATGTTTTATTTGCCTTACTCCCTGTCAGTCATATGACATGTCCCATCTTTCATTATCTTTTCCTCCTTTTCTTCTCTTTCCTTCTTTCGGTGATTTTTGGACATGGTCTCACCATGTTGCCTAGACTAACCCTAAACTCCCAATCCTTCTGCCGCGACCTCACAAGCTCTGGGTCTACACATATATGCCACCATACCTGGCTAATGTATTATTTCTGAATGCCTCCATGGTTGGTAATCAAACAACTTCTTGTCCTCCCAGTTTAAATTAGAAAACTGAGTGAAAAACTGGTCAGTCTTTCTTGCCAGCATCCATTGTCCTACAAGAAGAAACATCTGCTCCCACACCCTCTACACGCATCGGGTGAGGGCAGTGGCCCTGAGACAGAGTTCAAATCGTGCCTGTCATCTTATTGTTGTATCCAACAGGGTCTGAGCTTTATTTGCAAGGCAAAAGCTGTTCAAATATGAATATCACATTTACCTATTATCTGATTAACTGTCTCCTCAAGAAAAGGCAATTGCTTACATTAGGAAGCCTTTACTGTGCAACTGAAGTCCAAGGAAAACAGTCGCTTGGTGACAGTAGAGTTGGACTTGCAGCATGCTTAGCAGCCCTAAGGAAGAAGACCTTTGTGTGAACCCAGTGGGTCCTTCATTTGTCTGCAGATTTTAGATGGTGTGTGTTAAAACAAGATGTGCATTCTGCCTTAAACTTCATCAGTGTGGTTATGCTTTTATTATATCCTACAGTAAACTGACTTTTTAAAAAGATGTATTTATTTTTGCTTTATATGTATGAGAGCTTGCCTATATGCATGTATATAGTCCGCATGTCTGCAGTTCCTTTGGAGACCAGAAAAAAGGTGCTGGATTCCCTGGAACTATAATTACAGACAGTTGGGAGCCAGTGTGTGGGCCTGGGAACTGAACCCCAGGCCTTTGCTAGAATAGCAACTGCTCTTAACTGCTGAGCCATGTCTCCAGTTCCTGACTTCTGTCTTGTTTTAAATGACAAGTGTATGCAAATGATTTGAGAAATAAAATAAACCACTACTCAGAAGATGAAAGTAAATTGCAGAAAGGGAGTGAAGTTGAAGATAGGCAATCACCCCCAAAGACACTGAGCTAAATCATATAGTTTAATATTTCAAATAAATCAATATTTCAGAACAGAAGGCTGACTCTATATTGACAGTTATTTGAAGACGAGCTCTAAATAAACTGTTGCGTGTATTTTACAAAGATAATGTGCTGAGGAGTCAAAAAAAAAAAGGATAGTCCTTTGCCCCTTGGCCATTGGTAAAATAATCTAAGACTAGGCAGAGCCGCATGACCAGTGCAGGGGAACTGACAGCATGTAGGGAATAGGGAGAACCACATGACCGGTGCAGGGGAGTTGACAGCATGCAGGGAATAGGCAGAGCAGCATGACCAGTGCAGGGGAGTTGACAGCATGCAGGGAATAGGCAGAACTGCATGTCCAGTGCAGGGGAGTTGACAGCATGCAGAAAGGAATTATAGGATCAGCAAGAATGTTTTCTCCTTTCTGCACTGAGCCCACAGAACTAAACCTGGAATTAGAAAAATATTCCCAGGACTGGCAAGATGGTTCAGTGTTGGAGAACACTGGCTCTTCTTCCAGAGGACCTCGGATTAATTCCTGGCACCCACATGGGGGCTCAGTCAGCCACAACTCCAGCACAAGGGGATCTAATGTGCTCTTCTGGCCTCAGCAGAAGCCAGGCTTGGCACATGGTACATATACATACATATAGGCAAAATACCCATGCAAATTAATAATGATGATGATAATATAATAATTTTAAAAGAAAAATACACCTTTGCTTGGATACTTTGTTTTATACTTTGCAGCAGGAATGATAAATAGTGATTAGTCAGAATAAAAAATTACAAACAAGTTTCCGTTTTAACAGGGCCAGGAAGCTCTCAGAGCCCAAACGGAAGCTGGTTGCACTTAATACTACAGAACTACATAGTATTGAGCCTAAGGAGATTTGAAGGAGTTCCGTGGCTTTGACGGCCTCCACCACAAACTGCAATAGATTTCGGGCCTTCGGTGCTGACATTGTGTAGGTCTAAAATCTATTCAGCTTGCCTTGCAATCCAGTCCCACCCACTCTGCAGATGGGAGAGACACACTAGCCAGACAGCTGCCCAGGCCTCCCACACATTCAAGGATCCTGTATGAACAACTGTTCTGTAAACCTCAAGAGACACTCCAGGGCTTAGGGGTCGCCTTCTACTTCTAAGTTGATGTGGGATATCTTCTGTATGCTATGAATATGTTTTATTACCACTGGTTAATAAAAAAGCTATTTCAACCAATGGCTTAGCAGAGCAAAGCCAGGCAGGAAAATATATATATGGAGAGAGAGAGAGAGAGAGAGAGAGAGAGAGAGAGAGTAGGCAGAGTCAAAAAGACGCCATGTAGCCACCTAGGTGGGAACCTTACAACAAAACCTCATGGCAAAACATAAAATAATGGAAATGGGTTAACTTAAGATATAAGATCTAGCTAGCAATACAATAAGTGATTGGCCAAGCAGTGCTGTAATTAATAAAGTTTCTGTGTGATTATTCAGGTCTGGGCAGCCCGGAAACAAACAAGTGGTCTCCACCTACACTAAGTGATGCATAACACTCTAGAAAAGAACACGGGGAGACTTTTAAACCTTGACCTAGGCAGTTGCAGCACCTGGAAGACCCTCAGCTGCCCCCGGCATCCTTGGGGTCATTTCTCAGACAGCCACTGAAGACAGAAAGCTGCTCTTGTGGCGTGTCTGGGTGAGCAGACAAGAGAGCAAACTTGTTCCCTCATTACGTCACGTAATCTCAGTCAAGCCAACAGCTAAATGACCAGGGAACAAAGGCTCGTTCTTAGTGTTCTCAGTATACCTTGGCAACAGTGTCAAAGACAGGTGACGTCTAAGACCTGGCATGAGAGAGCTACCACAACTTCGTCCCGAAAGGACACCAACAGGACAAGTGGAGACAGTCTCGCTTCCATGGGTACTATAATCATACTGCATTATGTATTTGTTTGCTATTTGGCTTTTTTTTCCAACTAGAAAGCACCTCAGAGATGACCTAATCCACACCTTCGTTTTCCACAAGAGGCCCCAAGGCCTGAAAAGCCTGTATAGTCTACTCACACAACTCATTATATGCCTTGTGGGACAGGCAGGGGCAGAGAGACTGGAGTGAGCGGAGTGCCGCAGGTGACATCAGGTGGCATGGTTAGCGACACTCAGACAAACACTTCCCACCCCCAGCTCTTTCTGGATGAATTGTCACAGACATGGACAGGTCATGGGCTGAGCTTATATTCACACGTGGGCTTCCCTCGGGAGGGGATGAGTACTTGAACACTGGCCTTACTTGCCAGTCCGTGAGACTGTCTGGATAGCCTTGATCCACTCGGTACGCTCCTTGGGAGTGGCCGCCTGCAAGTAATAATGAACTTCATCTGCTGTGATGATCTCAAAAAGGTTCTCCTCGTCACTCTTCTTGCCTGGCGGGAGAGAAAGTAAAATAACATGTGGGTGCCAGAAACTCAGCAGTCCACCAGTCCACCACCTTCCCAGAGTTGTGGAATGTCTGGTTCTCCATGTCCTAAGGAAAATCTGCATTCATATTCACTGTCTAAGAATACATTCGGTATTTGTAAAGATAGCCGTGTAGTATGAGCATTAAGAAACATGTGCAATACTCAAGGAGAAACATTTTCTTTCATATGTGTAAGTAAGCTAAATGTCTTGCCTTTGCACACCAAAAGCAGCTATTGAGTAACTTCTACTGGTGTTGCAGGAGGGCCTTTGTTTGGCTCCAAGCCAAGAGCCAATCTCAATATACACTATATTAAAATGGGCATGTATTTATATCTACAACCACACATATATCATGAACCCAAGCCATATCAAACATTAGTCTTGTAGATATAAGCTAAACTAAGAGATAAGTCTGAGCTCTTAATGAAAGAAGAAAAGGCAAATAAACCCAAAATGTCAAGATGAAACCAGAGTGATTACGTGGTTTGCTCCCTTTCAAATGGCATGTCTTCTCTTGATTCAAGATAAACTATCAAGAGATGAGTATCACGACAAACAAGCCCACATCAAACAAATTATTGTAGAGTAATGCCTGTTGAAATCTGGTAATTGTCACATGCTTTTCTTTATAATTTTGGGTTCGAAAATATCATTTTTATAACAATACAGAAAAAAAATAGTCTGACAAGTGACAGGAAAAAAAAAGAAAGAAAACAGGGCTTGGGTTGTGAAAACCACCTCTCCAGTGACCTCATCCATCCTCAGCACCTGACAAGGCAGTGACAGCCAAGCGGTGAATACATGAGTCAATCCTAGGCATGTGAGTGCAAGAAAACAGAAGTCATCTGGTGCAGCCCCTTATTTTCAGAACAGGGACGAGATGCAGCGGGCGGCATGCTCACAGAGGGCTGTGTAGTAGACTGAGTTGCACAGACCCAGCCAACTGTACTGGGGTAGTTTTCCCTCTAAGCGCTTTGCCTCACATTATAGGTACTCCGCTTACTCTGTTTATTGCACACTTCCTTAGCTGGACAAGTGCATGATCTCCTTTAAGGAAACCTGCAGCATCAGGAGTTGTCACCAAGCTCTTCATAGAAGCCAGATTGGAAATGATGAATTTTTCTAGCATTAGCATTAGTAGTGACACACTCAAGGCATCCATAAAGCCATCCCATTGCCCAAATTCTAAAAGGCAGGCCAGCTCTTCGGGGAAAAAAGACGCCACTTACTCCCTCCAAAGTTCTCAGACGGTAAATTGATGTGGGTTTGTGTCTCACGAAGGACTGATTAGCTCAATACACACAGAGGGAGAGTACAGTAGACACATTTCCCTCCCACAGAAATGCCTTCTTACCATCGGGATTACTCTCCACTGACGTCACCACACAGCCCCTCAAGTGGACCGCTCCCAGGGGATCTTCACCCTGGAAGAGAGGGGGGCTGCTGAGTCTCCAATGTACACAGTGTGGACCTGCCTTGCCCTGTTGTTGCATACAGCACACAGGCTTAGCCAGGCACATGTCAGGTGAGAGCACATGTGCTTTTCAAAATGTCTACCCCCCACAAGCCGCATGAGAAGATGCAAGCCAGTCTAGAGCTGAGATCTGGAGGGAAGAAGTGGAGAGTTGGAGATGCTCAGGTCGCTACATCCCACTGAAGAACTGCCTGTTCTCGCCCTTGGCATAGCATGTCAGTGCTCACAGGAGTTAATCACGGGACACCATGTATGTGCAGCGCAAAGCCTCAATCCCAACAGTTGACATGAGCTTCTTTTTTCTTTCGAGTCAGAACTTTTTGTTGAGGAAAAAGCCTCTTGGTCAGTCAACAGCCAGAATTGCTGGACCTAGAGGGACTGTCCAGGTGTCCTGGAAGATGAATTATCTATTCATGCATGTTAAAGCATGTGTATGGTCTTGGACAAAATGAGTTGCTGCAATAATATCAAACTGGAGACTACCTTGGGGAATAGGGTGGACTAAAAGCTGCTTTCTGGCAACCTAGTAAAGGTGAAAATTAGAATAAGAAGAAATGGACATTACTCTGACAGCAAAGGAGAGGCGGAGATTTGAAAATTCACAATGGTAGTGACAGAGCAGGTAAAAGGTGCAGAGAAAATACAGGAGACACAAGTAAATGACGTGAACACCAAGCTTCACTCGGGGGCTAGAGAGATGGCTCGGTAGCAAAGAGGGCTTCCTGCGCTTGTATGAGGACCAAATTTGATTTCAGCACTAATGTAACACCTGGATATGTCCCTCCACATCCCTATAACCCAAACCTGTGGAGACAGGAGGATTGCTAGGGTCTATTAGCTTCCAGCCTAAGGAGAATATGACAACAAACTAAACTCTAGTTTCAGAGAGAGAATTTACCTCAAAGAAATAAAGGAAAGAGTGATAGAGGAGCATCTGGCATTGGCACTCTGGTCTCCACACACATTTACGGTCACACACCTGTACACAATCATGTTTATAGAGCACACACGCACACACACACACACACACACACACACACACACACACACACACGACATGGAGAAGTCTTGTCCAAAAGCACTTTGTTTCCTCCAGTGTAAGTAGTAATGCCCTCAACAGGCTGCTCAGTAAGAACATCCTCTGACAGAACCAGCACATAAGCCAAGAAGGGCACAGATCATAGCACAAAAACACAAAACCAAAGCAGTAGGACTCCTCAAAAAGACCATCAGCACCCCTCACGGACTGAATTCCGAGATGCTGAAGTAGGTAAAGGTTGGATGAAGGCTTACTAGTCAAACGATTAGTGACCTCAGATGGCTCACAAACAAGCAGATGAATCCGATCTAAAACCTGTGGAGGAATATCAGCAACACAGAGGAAACAGAAAAAACGGAAAAGCGGCCATGTAGATCGAAAAGTGACAAGGAAGAAAATTCAACAAGATAGGATGTTGAGAAACAGCAACCAAAAACAGAGTCAACTAAAGAAAAAAATAAAGCACAAAGTACCACCAATGGGTTTGTCCAAGCAAAATTAAAATATCAAAGATGGAGGAGATAGGGGACTGTGACATCCAACATCAATTAGTATAAACAAACAAATGGACACACAAACAGAACACAGTGCCCAAGAACTCCAGGACACAGTCCTAAGACCGAACCTAAGAATCCACGGCATAGAGAGAGGTGTGATGGAAACTGAAGGTAGATAATCTATTTGACGAAATCATAGCAGAAAGTAGTGCAAACCTAGAGAAAGGAAATAGCATACAAGCACAATGGGCATTTATGATCGAAAATTGACATACCCAGAGAAGAACCTTCCCACAACATATTATAGTCATGATAGTGATAAAGCAGAGACAAGAAACAATATGAAAAGCTGGAAAGGAGGTGCAGGTATATCTGCGGTGGGATGTGGAGTCTCGTGGGAATGCTGGGAAGCGATGCAGCTGGGTCAGATCGTAGTTCTCCTTTGAATTATTTGAGAAAGCTCCATGCCGGTTTCCATGATGGCTGGACTAGTTTGTACTCTCATCATCCTTGAGTTTTAAAAGTTTCTCTTTCCTCAAGAGCCACTAGGAGTGGAGTGAGGTGATGTCTCAAAGTAGCTTTATGATGACCAGGGAGGTTGGACACTTTGTAAAAATTGTTATTGGCCATTTGTAATTATTCTTCTGAAAACCATCTGTTCATTTCTTTAACATGTTTGTTGATTGGTAGGGTTTTTTTTTTTCCATGTTTAATTTTTTTCAGTTCTTCAGAAATTCTGGGTATTATCCCCCATCTGAAGTATAGCTAGTAAATACTTTCTTCCATTCTGCTGGCCGTCTGTTCGCTTTGCTTATAAAGTTGCTTTTGCTGTGTAGAGTTTTTTATTTTAATTTAGTCCCATCTGTTGATTCTTGGATCTAGTCCCTGTGCAGCAGGAGATCTGCTCAGAAGTCATGCCTAAACCTGTGTCTTGATGTACATCCCTTCTGTTTTCCGTGGTTGGCCTCAGCGTCTCAGGTTTTAAATACAGTTAATTTTCTCACGCAGGGCGAAAGATGCTCGAATTCCATTCAGCACATCAATAGGCAGTTTTGTCAGCACCATTTGTTAAATAAGCTGTCTTTTTCTTTCTACTATGTGTTTCTTGTCCCTTTGTCAGAATTCAGGTGGCTGAAGCTTTGTTGGCTTATTTCTGAGTTCTCTCTTCCATTCCATTGGTCTAACTGTCTGTTTTTACTGTTTTTATGCCAGGCTATCCGGCTATCTTTCTCATTACAGCCATGTTGTATAATTTAAGATGGAGTGTCGTGATACCTCCAGGCATGTTCTTTCTCCCTAGGACTACTTTGGCTATGTGTGGTCTTTTGTGATGTCATATGAACTCTTGACTGACTTTCGCTAGTTCTATGAAGAATGGCACCCGTGTTTTGATGGGAGTCTGCAGAATACTTTTGACAGTATAGCCATTTTCATACATTAATCTCACCAATATACCTGTGGGAGGCTATAAATAAGGATAAAACCTAAAAATTTAGAAAATGATTTGCGAGAGGTTAAAATAGGTAGTGAGGATGGGGGATTTCAAAAGACTCATGAAGCATGAGAGAAAAAATGGGAGGAGGAAGCGTACAATGGGGATCAGAGGTGTGGGGTAAACGGTTGAGGGGTAAGAAGGATCTGCTAAAACACACTTTGATTCAATATTTGTTTGAAAATATTACAATGATATTTTAATACCTTGTAATTTGAAAAGGTTTAAGAATAAAGCAACCTCTCTTAAGGCAGGCACGTAGAACAACATCAGCTCTCTATCACTATTCTTAGAGCCGTGGAACGATGTTTCAAAGGCTGAAATGTGCTAACTGCAAACGTGGAACAGCAATGCTATCCTTTAAATCTAATGGAAAATTAGGACATTTAAGAAAATCATAAGCCAGTTCATGGTGCTCAAGCCAGCACTGAAAAAGGATTCTTTTTATCATATTATATTTATTCTGTATGTGTATGTGTGTGTGTGTGTGTGTGTACATGTGTTCATCTGTGTACTATGGTGCATGCGTGTTAGGTCAAGGAAGCCCTTGCAAGAGTCAGTCCTGTCCCAGGGACTAAACTCAGGCTCAGTGGCAAGTGGCTTTACTCACTGAACCATCCCAACCCTAGAAAAGTTTCTTAAAGGAATAGTATAAACCAAAGAGAAGGAAAGACATTCTCACTTGAGGGCACAGGACAGAATAAACTCCAAGTGATAAAAAAGAAAGACAATCCAGACAGGATCTGTCAGGTCCATTGCGGTCCACCAGGACGGCCCTGATAAGACTATGATGATAGAAAATGGCAAATACTTGTACAGCCAATAAGAATGATCAGCAAAACTGCAGGAATGAGGAAACATCTCTCAAGAATGAATTTAATGGTAAATGGCTTTCAACTGCCTTTAGAGGCAGATCGGCTGGCTCTCTTAGCAAACAAGAGTCACCTCTCTATCATCTCTAAGAAATGCACATCACTAGCAAAGTCAACAATGGACTCAAACTCAAAGGACCAACTCAACTAGTAAGGTTAAGGGCAGCCCAGAGTAGTCAATATGGAATCTGACAAAGAATTCGAACCAATTTTCGTTAGAAGAAATAACGTATCAATAAAGAGAAAATTCATGAAGAACAGTGATAATTATAAATATCTGTTTCAAATAACAGGGCTCCCAATTTTGCAAAGCAGATATTAATGGTTAAACAATAAGAGGCTAACCACGGTGAGTGACTTCTGTGCTCCTCACTCTTCTGTAGAGATGCCGTACAAACTGAAAACCAATGAAAGAAACCCAGACTTAACTTAGCTCAAATGGTCTTAGCAATTTATGCAGAGCGTTCCATCTTTTCACAGCCTATCAAATGCTTTTCAATATGTCTGTCTGTGAACCTGAATAGACTTTACAAGGCAGGTTGTGTCATTAAACCTCCCATTCAGAGCACAAATTAGAGCTCTGTGGCTTTCCCTACAATGACCAAAAATAGAAAAGAAAAAAAAAATGGATGTCCTTCGGGGTCCACTGGAAAAGTAGCATTTATAAGTTGGGGAAAGCTTCTCTGTGGCATAAGAGTAAGGTTCCAGCACCTTCGGAGGCATTCCTGAGAAGCCCAGCACCAGTGACGCTATCCCCGCTGTCATCTTTTCCTTTGATATTTCTGCCTGGAATCTAGAATTCCTGCTTGCGACCTGGAGCCATAGAAACATGGCGCTTGTGATATCCAAACTTTGAGCAGAATGGCATCTTCAACTAACAGTGTTGGGGAAGCTGGATAGTCATAAGAAAACTGAACCTAAATACACAGCTCTCACTCTACAGAAAGTCAGCTCGGAGTGGACACAAGATCGCAGTGCAAATCCTGAAACAACACAGGTGAACTGTTTCAAGATGTCGCTGAGAAATACGATTCCTGAAAAGGATTCCAACAGCACAGAGAAAACCAAGAACTGGCAGATGGGCTGCAGCAGATTGAAAGCCTGCCTTCCCCACCCCGGAGGAGCAAAATCGACAGAGTGAAGAGTCCGTCTGCAGAACGGAAGAAACTGCACCAGCTCCACACCAAAGATGATATTAATATCTGTAAGAGGTGAGAAACTCCTAAATAAAATACCAAAGAAAACAAACAACCAAGTTAAAAACTGGGCTAGTGAAATGAATTGACCAGTCCCAAGAGAAGAAATGGAAGCAGCCGAAAAGTATTTGGAAAAGTGTTCAGTGTCCTTGGCCATCATTAAATGCAAATCGAAGTCATGTTGAGATTCTGTTTCACCCCAGTCATAATGGCTGTCATTTAAAAAATAGTAAAGGCTCTCAAAGATATGGAGGAAAACGAACACTTCCACACTGTTAGTGGGAATGTAAAGCTTGGTAGCCACTACTTAAATCAATGTGGAGTGGTCTCAAAAGAGTAAAAGTAGGAAACAGTATAATTCCACCTAGAACTTGGATTACATGGCTAGGTAGTTAAGATGTGTTACATATACAGATATAAACAAAACAAAATATTGATAAGTATTAGGAAAATTGACTGAACTATAGACCATTTTGTTAAAGCAAGACTAGCCAGACTCAGGAAGATAAACAGCCCTCATGGTCTCTCCTATGAAGAAATTAGAAAGCAGAATATGGACCACAAAGGAGGAGGAAGAGGTACAAAAGGAAGGAAGAAGAGGAGTATGTGACATGAAAGATGAAGTGCTATTTGAGGGAAGGAAGGATCAAATAGGCTGGGAGAAGACAAGAGAAGGGAGGGCAGTGGGGGTAGAGGATTGGCAGCCAAGAGACGGCAGATACAGGCGTGAAAATCTCACAAGGAAACCCATTATTAGAATGCCAAGAGAAGCTAAAGTGCTGATATATATCTCAAATGGGACAAAAGTTAAATTGAGTTAACCAAATGCACTGATATTTTCTTCCACTGCTGAGTGTTGGCTGGTCTAAGGGGCATGAGGACTCAGGCACTGGCATGGGAGGTAGTAGAACAAAGTGACAGAGAGGAGGAAGCAAAACAGAGGGGCGTGGCCCCAGCTCACACACAGCTTCTTTGTGAATGGACTTAGCAACCAGGGAACCTCACCCCAGCAGGGTCATAGTAATGCAGGTAGGCCGGGTCTTCTCTCAGGATGAACTTTCTCACTTTCCAGTTTTTCCTCCTGTGCCCCTGTATCAAGGAACCGAGAAAGGAAGGGTGAGTTGCTAGCATCCCTCTGTACACACAGCACCCCAGGTAAGAAGTCTGCTGATGTCCTGGCCCATGTCTTTCTCTGGGAGATAGAGCCAAGGCCGATTAATGAGACAGATGTTATTGAATCACCTGGGTAAGTTAAATTATTTCTGTACTGTATTCTGACTTTAGAATTATGTGAAATGGTACTACATATGTGACAGGTTAGGCAGCGCTGGGCACATAACTTGGCTCAAGACATGATCCTTTTATTTGAGGAATTGATGATCCATATGGAAATAGACTATGACAAAATCCAAGTAAAATGCTTGATATAAATAATGGATTTCAAAAGAATTAAATGAGAGATATGTGATTGTAGACATGAGTTATCAAACAAAGCACAATAAAGATGTCTGCTTTGGGTTCTGGTGATGGAACACAGGTTCTAATTCCTACATATATGTATATGCACCATGTGTGTTCTTCGTGTCATAAGGCACTGAGTATCCTGGAACTGGAGTTAGGGATATCTGTTAGCCTCCATATGAGTGCTAGGAGCTGAACCCCAGTTCCCTACAAGAGCAGAGAGTATTCGTAAGCAGTAAACCATCTCTCCACTTCAGAAGGACTTCGGAGATCCATCCACATCTACAAGCATGGGTATTTCCTTTGCCTTAATAACATTGCCCATGAGATATGAGTACTTAGGTTGCCTCACACAATTTCTTCTTTTTTGGAAGATGTGAAAGCCATGCTGTCTTGTGTGACTATTAAGTGGCTACCTCGTTATCCTGAGCTGATGGATCAGTCAACCTTAGCCAGCGGTCATATTCTCTGAAAGTCTTCTCCAACATCACAAAGGGGTTTATTGAAAAGTCTACTATGAGTGTCTGATCATCCTTCTTTAGCAATTATTTACTGAAGGATTTCAAGAGCATATACATGCCTGGGTTTTCTAACAACTATTAATTGAATTATCAGTCATCTATTGTATTTGATTTTGTTGATTGACAAGTGCTTATTGTTTATAACAGAACATAAAAGAGTGTTGAATTCTATGGCACAAACAAGATAAGCATACGTAATACATGGTTTTTTCCCTCACAAACTCTTTATGTGACCAAAGATGAAACAGAAAGGTATTTAGCTCATTACAGAAGAAGGGATTAGACAGAATATAACCCATCCAATCATCCTTGTACTTGTTCCATTTGCCAACTATAGTATTTCTTCTGAGACAGAAGTGGAAAAGAGTCAGAGGAACACAGTCCTCCAAGTAGACACAGCTACTCCACCTGTGGAGTATGCAACACAGGTATCCTTTCTCATGTTACACTTTCTCTATAGGTTAACCCTGGTAAACTCCCAGCAGTAATAGAAAGAGAGTTGATATTTTCAAGACCATAAAGTTGTTTTTAGTTTGCCACCAAATGATTCTTGGTATGAACAGAGTCTCTTGGGAGGATTGGGGAAGGCATAAGAAAAACTCAGCAACCTATGACTCTTCTTGGCTTGGGCTACACACACACACACACACACACACACACACACACACACACACACACCTCTTTCCTTACAATGCACTTGGCATCCTGGAATTCTGTCCTACTAGGAGCTACACAAACACCAAACCCATCCATTCAAACATGTCCTGAAATGCACGTGGGAACTAGATGCAGGGAACAAAAGCAACTTGAACAAATTTGGGGTTCATGTGCAATAAAGTGAACATTTAGGGAAAATCCTCTGTCTTCTTATGTCTATAATTTTGAATTAATTTGATTAAGTTTAGATGTATCATGGAAAAAAGCCACACGCAATGAAGAAAAACTTACATAACCCAAGACCCAAGACTATTAATCAAAAGAGAACCACCCAAATTACATGCCCTAGGAATTAACACACCCTCATTCCAGACTCCATGAAAAGGAACTGTGAACAGTAACCAGCAACCCTGGTCTCTAGTCTGCCTAGCTTGCTGCTTCCTGGTAGCATCCCCTGCGCTGTTTCCAGCACTATCTGTTGAAATAAAGCTGCCGCCTTTCCACCTGTGTGCACTTTGTAAATAAGACGCAAGGAAACGTCTTGAAAACGCCCAGTACAGATGCACGAATATCCACACAGGCACAGACACACACCAGCACCAAACTTGGTGACCCAGCAGGGAAGTAAGATTAACCTCTTAAAAATGTTGAGCTTGTAGGTGTACTAAATGTTTGCAAACTCCTCCCTTTTATGAAGATCACCATTTCACAGCTTTTTTTTTTTTTTATTCTGATGTGACCCCATGACTACGGTGGCTGGCTGCACTAACCAGTTCGGTCAGATCACCCCCAACGCCTAGCCCATGACAAAATGGGGTGAACGATGATGAATGAACTCTGCTGGCTGCTTCTACTAAGATAGAGACCACTAGAAAGTGGGGAAAGACTTCACAGCCAGTGCCTCCCTGAGTGGAGTTCAGAGCAAACACAGCCAGTTAAATTGCATCGGTGGCCAAAGTAGCTATGACACTGTGGACTTCCTCACCCTTTCCAATGCCGTCTCTTCTCGCTGGAGTAGAGTCAGACTCCGCTGCTGCTTCCTCACCCTTTCCAATGCCGTCTCTTCTCGCCGGAGTAGAGTCAGACTCCGCTGCTGCTTGAATCCACCTCCCTTCCCCCTTCATCTCTCCCTCCCTTCCTTCCTTCTTCTCCCCCTCTCCCCTCTTTTTCTTTGTTCTGTATAAGAGTCTGCATTACAGAATGTCACATTCTTAAAAGAAATAACCAATGTAGCAAGTGGTCTTAGACAATGAGTTTTCTAGATGAAAGAGAAGTCGGAAGTCTTTGTGGGCACAGATTAAATGAAACAGTCACAAGATACTATGGTATATACCTAAAGTTATCCCATATTCGGAGTTGAGGGTGGTAAAGAAGCTTCTTTTGCCCCATGTTTGGGGTGGGGGAACAAAGCCACCCCTCCAGTATGACTTCTTGCTAAGAGACCCTGTGCTTTCTTAACTCTTACCATCACAGCCCTGGGTACCTAGAACTGTGGAGAGCTTCAGTTTACCACAGCCCTAGCCTCAAAGAATGATCATGAATATCTGAAATTGCACATAATCTTACACGCACACACACACACACACACACCCCTGCACTGTGCCCATGCCCTCCAACAGGACCTGACCTTAGCCCACTATGCCTACGGAGCTGACCTCGTGCCATAGTTCTCCGTCTCACCAGGCTTCACCACAGTCTGGAACAGTACTTCCTTGTTCTTAAAGATTACCATATAGTGTGGCCCGTTCTTATTTTCTGATCACTTTGAAGTACTACATCATGAAATGTCTTTATCTTTTCTTTGGATGGCATCTCTTGGCCAACTTATGCCTCGCTATTAAAGAAAGAGCAATATTTTCTTAAAATACATTTCATCACCAGAAATACTTTTCTGGTTGGTTATTAGTCAAGTAAACCAGCTTCTATTTAATAATGCCAACTTTTTTTCTTTTTCATTTGTTTCTTTTGTCTTTTTGAGATAAAGTCTCACTATTTAGTCTAGCCAGGCCTTGAGCTCACTGCAATCCTTATGGTTAATTAAGCTTTATGAGTGCCGGGATTATAGATATACACCACCATCCTCAGCTCACATTGGCAATTTTGGGGAAACAATTAGAAGGCTTGAAGCAGAGGGAGAAAATAGTGATAGTCACTCACCTGCTTCAGTAAACATCCCTGCTTGATGATAACACCTCTGAATTCTTCTCTCAGAATCACATCCTCATCACTGGAATTCTCTTCACAGAAGAAGCCACTGTCCGGCTGTTGGGAAATCACACAGCAGGTTCTTACGGGTCTCAAGAATAATGCCACGTCTGCACCCCCTTGTGCCAGACACTTTTCCTCCATGCTGTTGCATGTGCCATGACACGAAGGTTACTTCAAGGTTACTCTGGGTTTGCTATCTAAGCATCGCCCATTTTCTTGCCTCTGGATCCTGGTCCCTTTGTGTCTCTATCCCAGGATGATCTGGTCAATAGCCTTTGATTTTCTATGATTCTCCAGGCTATGTCCTAAGTCTGTCTCAGTCTTCTTCTCCCAGACATAGGTCTCACTTATGGGACTTCAAGGCCGTGTTGGAAATCACACTGACAACACCTGCTGTAACACTCTCCACTGTGACTTGTCACTCAGCTCCATCTCTAGCCCTGAGAGAACCACGGGTGTGTGCGTCACCTCAGCCCCTGCGGTCAGGATAGTTGGAGATTTTCTGAACTAAAAGAGAGTATCAAACCACACAGAGGAGTAGCAGCTGTGGGGAGCTAATTTAGTATCCTTAATCTTTGTAGCCTTAATAAATGGCAATAAAAAGATAGACCAAGGGTCTGAAGCGTGAAAAGTACTGATCGTGGACCTCCCGCAAAAGTGAAATGAAACACTCTCTGGGATGTTCACCTCGCTTGTGTAAGGAGGGTGGCTCTTCGCATAGCTTTCCGAACTTCTACATTCTGATCCAAAATAGAAACAAAACTGTCAAAAATCCCCCTAGAAATCCACAGTTGCTAACATGGCCATGTCTTGTTACATAAGATGAGGTTTCGCAATCTCGGTAAGCATGACATAGGAGACATGCAAGATCATGGGGGAAGTGCATGCAGAAGCACGGTGCCTATTTGATTGTATACACAGACAGACAGCTCATCACATCTGTGATTTCATGGGCAGCCCTGTGAGAAGGACATCGTACCAGGACTGGCACTGTTACCTTGTTACTGTCCTGCTCCCTTTGTCAAGGACAACGACAACATATGCCACGTAGCTGCACACACACCTTCCTAAAGGAATGATTGCTTAAATCAGAACAAAGGGTGCAAGACTTCAAAAGTGCCTTCAGAGACAACTACTCAAGTAAACAATCGCTTCCTTCCTGCCGGTCACTTGGAGAAAGCAGCATTGAGGGAGCAGCTGCTAGGTCTAGAAAGTGCCGGTGTAATAGAAGCTTTACAGACCTGTGCTTCCGTAGCTTGTAGTATTTGTCTTTAAAATATTTGTGTGTGTGTGTGTGTGTGTGTGTGTGTATTAATGTGAGTTTGACTATGTGTGAACAAGTGTCTGCTTTCGAGTGGGTATGGAGGTCAAAGGACAATTTGCAAGAGTTAGAGTTGGTTCTCCCTTCTACCATGTAAGTTCTGGGGATTGAACTCAGGACAAGCACCTGCATCCAGTGAGCATCCCAGCAGCTTGTTATTAACTTTTTGACTCTGGGTTGGCTTCTTCTGTAACCTTCTCACCCATCAGTTCTGCTTAGGACCAAACATTCTGCTTGCATAGGTGGCGCTAAGCTGATATTCATAGAAAATCTACCCTGATCCTATGTCAGGAAAACCAAACAGGCAGTTTTTCATGCTTACAAAGTAGTAGAAAGCATCCGGGTTGTCCAGGAAGGGGTTCTCAGCTATTCCGTCCGCTGCATCCTTAGACAAATCCCCAGCAGGCTGCAGGTACCCTTCACTGAGCAGTGATGCGGAAATCATGAGGCCTTCCTGGCGATTTCTGACCAACTTGTTGGAAACTAGCCAGTCAATGACCTCGCTACCTGGATGAGGACATCAGAGGGGAAGTTAACTCTTTCCCAAGCCACCAGCCACTGACTGCCAAGCACACATTGGCTCCGGTGCTCACAGGTGTCCCGCTTGTCTCAACTTCTCTGCTACTCCAAGAAGGAAAAAGAAAATTAATGAGACAGATACTGGGAAACAAAAGGAATCATGTAAAAGTTAAAAGTACACACACACACATGTACACACACACATACACACAAACACACATGTCCTACTTTTAAAAAAACACATTTTAAAAAATCATTTTTACTAAGTTACATATTTATTGAGCTTGTACAAAACAGCAGATGGGCAGTGGGCAGGTTCCCTAGTGAAAACACAAGCATTAAAGTTAGAGAATTCTGCTGTAAGTCAGTACTGTGGTACACTGAATGACTGGACCATTTTCAGAGGCAGGAAAATTTTCAAAACCATCTTACCCTGTAATGGCAAGATTTGACAGTCCAATGGGGTTGAAGACTAGATAGTTGTAGTTACTGTGCTCTCATGACTTGGCCAAGTTATTTATTATACTAGTTAGAATAGGATAATTATTGATTATATTTGTTCTTATTGTATATAATTTTGAATTAGGGTTAGAACTCTCTTATTTAAAGAAAAGGGGAGGTGCTGTAGGAAGTCTTACAGCCAGTGGTTATGCGCCCATTGGGACATGGCCTCTTATACTATATAATCTGATGGAGAACATACATCTGCTCTCTTTCCAGTTGCTGGATTCAGTTTCTGTTGTCCATTAAAACAGAGGATTCTGATTTGTGAGTTTACCCCTAAATAAATAACATCTATTTCTCAAAAAAAAAATTAATGACTGGATCCAAACAGAAAAGAATCTATAGAGAAAGTAACTGGGCCAAGAACTAAAATATGAGGTTTGAAAGCATAGGAGATAGGATCTGAGGGTCTGGCATAGGCAAGGATGCAGCAATGTGGACAAACGCGAGCACACTGCAGCCCCTGAGAGCAGAGATGGAGCTGGTGAGAAGAGGTCAAGAGGAAGCAGGAGTAGAAGGAAGATATGGGGCAAGGAAAGATTGGTGACACTTTAAGAAATCCATCAAACTGGCGTGGTGGTGCAAGCTTTAATCCTAGCACTCGGGAGGCAGAGATACACAGAACTCTGTGAGTTTGAGGCCAGCCTGGTCTACAAAATGAGTTCTAGGATAGCCAGGGCTGCTACACAGAGAAACCAGGAAGAGAGAGAGAGAGAGAGAGAGAGAGGAAGAAGAAGGAGGAGGAAGAGGAAGAGGAAGGGAGGGAGGGAGGGAGGGAGGGAGGGAGGGAGGGAGGGATCTGCCAACAAAGGGACATTTCAAATTTTTAATTATCAAATAACATAATAAAATATGTGTCCTAAATTAAAATTTGATTACACTACTTGTGTTTGTTGCCATACATTTTAAAGAATCTAGCATAGACCTTGAGCAGTCATTTTATTTAACTTTTACCTCAAGAGAAAATTACAGGGAATGGAATGAAGAGAACCTATCAGTTGGGTTACTAGCAAGCTACAAGTGAAACTTTGTATTTATAAAGGGCTTTCTTTTCAAGTTCAGCTGTGACAACCAACTTAGTAGGGTCTAGTCCTGGGACACTGGCGCATTGGGTACGGGACTCCTGAAAGAGTCATGTGTCCCTTTCAGAGACCGAGCCCTCCTGAGTTTCACACCTGAAGTTTTTTCCTCCACCTTTCTCGCTCTGTGAAGACAAGCATTTCCGCCTTCAGCGCTCACAGCTCTACAGGAGACAGCAGGAACGAACCCCACTGGGGTTTCAGTAACCTGCGGCTTCAGTTGCATGTCCAGTTGCTGGACCTTCATTTTGTATGTTCTCACACTTGAGTCTGTGCTGAAGTCTGAAAGACCTCCAGCGGGTGATAGCCGTGTGATAGTCAAGGTACACCATTGCATGTGGTCATTGACCGCTTCCTAGTTTCTGCTTCTCAGCTGACACCACCTGACTCTCATGAAGACTGCACTCGTGAAGGGTTCTAGACTCCATATGATGGTGCACAGGAAGGACTTGAGTCTTTGTGAATGCTTTGGGACTCGGGGATGCATTCAAGAGAAGATGAGTCTGGGCTTGATCTGGTGGCTGAAGCGCCCTAGGAACCCTTTTTTATTCCTTTGGCCTGAGGCTGTCTCAAAGGAACCCCAACCCCATATCCTTAGGGTCCTGCTTTGCGTTTATTGTTTCCCTTGTATCTTGATGAAGAAGCTTGGTCCTGACTTGATGCTAAAGGCTACTACCCACATTCTCAGAAGCACGCTCCTGTGGAATACTACCCCCTCGGTGAGAATCACTTCCTTTCCTCCTCCCCTTCCTAACTCTAACCTTAGCCATTTTGATGGATCGTCTGTAGACCCAACACCTTCTCAGATGCTTGCACTGCTATAATTCCTCCGAGTTGTATCCCTATGGCATCTCTTGCAAACATGTTGGATGTCTGGCACACTTACTCGCAAACCAACATCACATTTTGCTGCCTATCATGAGCCATCGCTCTTCTAGGTGCTCGCCTCAATTTCCCAGATGCATATTCTGCACATTCCCACCCCTAACTCATCATCAGAAGCCGTCCCCACCAAACCCCTCTACTTTGAGGTCGAACCGAGGCACCCCCTCCTAACCACCTCAGCAGCTCTCTCGGTTCTTTCTCTTTCCCCAAACTTACGGTGCTGTTGCACAGATATCTCCTCTTTCATCATGCTAACTATTTGAAAGCTCACCGCTCAGAGTGCCTGGTGCGTGTCAGGGACTATCCCACTATATAACAGAAGCCTGGGAGAGAGGTGCACTGAGATTTCCCACCGGGTAGACAGTAAAGCGCAGGGGCAGTTATTGGCTTTATGCCTCGTAAACTGCTGATCGAGAGCTGGATCCCAGCCAGTGTGTTTCTTGCGAGTTAGCTTTCCCCACTATAGCACACTGCCTAACCTGGTGACACCTACGACCTTGCTGTGCACCGTGTTTGACACTCCCAACAGTATTACTTCAGTTTTATACTACATATTTTAATTCTCACGTAATACTTAATTTTAGTGTGGATTGTAGCTTATTGAGCTGTTCCTAGCCCTTATACTTTTGCAACATAATGCCAAATATTAAAGAAAAGAGATGCTTGATTGATAATGCTGTGGCTTCTGACGTCGTATCCTGAACAAAAACAAAGGCTTCTTCTACCCTGGTTTCTGTCTCCACACTGGCAGAATTCGGATCTCTTGTTCATCAGCTGGCTTGCATCCTGCCATCCTGAGCATCTACTGTGCACCACACCCCAGCGCACACAGATAGCTACGGGAGAACACTCCACTCCTTCCTTGGTTGCCCACTTTGGGAGCGCGCGTCATTTTACCTGTGAAGCAGTGATTAAAAACCTTCTTGTCCTTCTCCAGATTCTGTTCCTTTATTCCTTTGTCTGTGTCTTTCATAGACAGATACAAAGCCCTGCACGGAGACAAAAGCAGAGGTGAGCAAGGAGTATTTGGACGGGTGAAACGTCTCAGGGAGACCTCCAGCATTAAGCAGTTCACAGATGCACTTAATTCCTCTTCAGTTCAATACTCTCTTTCTTGATTTAATCCTGCTCTTAAGATGGAGAGTTACCCCGCTATGTGCCAAAGGGTAAGAGTTCCCACGGTCAATTTTGCAAGAACAAAGATCTTTAAAGCCCCTGCAATAGTTTGAATCTGGCATGTCCTACAGATACCACTGTTTTAAAGTCTTATGACCCAGCTTGGTGCTGTTCAGAGGCGGTTGAAGCTTCAAGAAATGTGGCCAGGGAGTGTGAGGCACTTTTAGTAAAGCACTTGCCAAAGAAACCTGAAGATCTGAGTTCAGATCCCCAGCACCAAGAGGAAAAGCAGGACACGGTAGCTTCCAATCCCAGCACTGTTGGGGTGGAGACAGGAGGATCTTTACAGCAGGCTGGTCAGCTAATCTAACCAGGTCAGTGAGCTCCAAGTTCAGTGAGGGACCTTATCTCAGAGAGTAAGGTGGAGGGCAATTGAAAAAGATATCCGAAATCAGCCTCCAGCACCTGCACACATATGCACATGGATTCACATACAGGTGCGCACAAATGCACACACACACACACACACACACACACACACACACTGGTCAGTGAGTGGTAGAGTTTTTCAAGTCATTGTAGATGTGCCCTTGAAGTAGTTTTGGGAATACGAATTCCTTCTTTCATATCATAATTGCATAGTAACAGACACGCTATGTTATACATATATATGCCTTGACGGGTTGCCACCAACCACCACTGTGGGACTAAAAGAAATCGGTCAAACCAAGCACTTTGAGCCACAATGAATCCCCCTTTTCTAAATCAATTCTTCTAGATATTTGTTAAAGCAGTGCAAAGATTACACAGTCTCCCAATTTTTACAAGGTTTTCAGGAGGCCATTTGTTATACAGCACGGCCTTCAAGAAAGAGATTTGTTTTCGAAGCTTCCCTTTTGGTCTGAAATTGTAAGGTAAAATAGTGAGCTCTTACTTTTTGTCCCTGGAATAATAAACTAAAAATAGCCTCATCAGAATAGTTCTAAGTCTCTGTGTGTCTTTGTAGTTCATCATCATTCCCACTCAGTTCTGACCATGCTGCTCAGGAATGTGGTCACATGATGTCTGAAGCTAGCAGCTACGACTAGACCGGATGTCTCCTCTTGGGGTCTGGTCTAGTGAGAGACTTTCTAGTTCTCATGAAGCTTAACATGATTCTATTCTTGGGGCATGCCAACTCTTACATTAGTTGTACAGAAAGCATGTTTCTCATCCCGTCCCAGAGACTGCTTTCAACCTCACTCTTTGTGAACTGACATATTAAGCAGCCAGCATGGTATTCTTTCTAACAAATCTCTTGCTTAAAACAGAAAGCAAATCTACCAAGAATGACAGCCAGAGAAAGAAACACTTATGATTAGAACAGATGTAAAGAGCTCTAGAAAGAATCCCATTACCAGCCCCTATCAATGCCTGGGGCAACCTGCTGTTCCCCGGTCACCTTTATGCAAATGACACCTGCACTTCCCAGTAATCAGTAGCCACCTCAGAGGCCTCTCATCAAGTCTGCAGACCAATGGCTTCCATCCAGGAGGAGTGTTCACCCTGGCTGGCCCCTTCCTGACTGGGAGGGAAAACATGAGTCTAAACTTGAAAGTCTGTCTGCTTGGACACATGGCCCCTGTTCTTCCCTTTCTACCTATACATCCTGAAATGTTCTTTCCATACTAACCTCAGAAGGCAACTTCATAGATAAAACAACCACTCTGTTGTCCTCTCTCTCTTCTCTTCATCCTCTCTCTCCTCTTCCTCTTATTCCTTCTCTCCCCTCTTTCTTCCCTCTCTCTATCCCCCCGTTCTTTCTCTCGCATTTTTGTCCTCTCTCTTTCTCACCTCTATCTCTCTTCTCCCCTCCCCATACACCACACACCTTTCCCCTCAGCTCCTAGGCGTTAGAGGGGCCGTCATCAAAGATGGCCAAAGGAAGCTTTGAAACGGGATTTCTCAGATCAAAGAGGAAAGGAAACTCAAAGGGTGGCAAATGGCAAACTCGGAAAATTACCCCAAGTCAATGGTTTCTGGCAGACGAATGGACCTCCTTGTGGATTTTCTTGCGAACTTCTGGCCTCCTTCAATGCATTTGATGGCTTTCTTTATATCCCGAACCCAAGCATCTCTCTCCTCCAGGTAGGCTGCCTGGAAGAAGTGGTCCTGCTGCTTGGTTGTTGTGATCTTAAACACAAACTGAAAATCAAAATAGATCCCATTAGAAACAACCCCTTCCGAGGCCCCTTAAGACACAAAGCAGTTGATACAAACAACGTGTCTGTCAAAGAGAGAGTCCAGCACTGTGCTAAGATGTGGATGTCGACAAGAGGAGACAGTTGTTCAGAAGGCACTGCTAAAATGCATGTAGGCTTCCAAGTCAGCATGTGACACAGGGAGGCCCATAAGCTGAGCCTCAAGGATGGAGCAGGGAGGAGAGAGCCAGGAGGCAGAATCTGGAAAGGCCATTCAAGGTCAGCAGGTGACACAAGTGTCATCGTGGCTGGGGATTTGCACTCACCATCCTTTTGCCGAAGTCCTGACAGGGGCTAGTGAGAGTGCTTCCTTTCAGAGGGATCATTCCCTTGGGGCTGTTATCGCTTTTCTTCTTATAAAACTCAATTCCATCTTCTAAGAGCACAACCCACATGGGCTTCCAGGAGCTAAAGACACTTCCCTGTAATGACGAGAAAGAGCTGAGAAGCTGGGTAGACACGATGATTTGTACCTGTATTTTCCACTTAACAGAACAGATCCCTACCTTCTTGGAGTTCACTTTAAACATGTTTTGTGATGATCTCTGTCGACTCAACATAAATCTTCTCAAAGTGATGACTTCTTGGGACACCATTGTGTTTGCTACCTCTTGCTGCTTACTTGAGCTGGTCGTATTCTCTACGTGCCCTTTTCAAGTTTGGCCTCTCTTTGACCTTCCTTCCCTTCTCCATCCTCAAGGCCTCATGGGAAAGACTTTCCAAACCACACTTTGTGGCCTTGATTTGAAGGTCACCTCCCACTTTTCTCACTGACTATCCTTTGCATCCTAAAACTTTGTTGTATGCTTCCTTTCAGAGCCAGTCTGAGTTATCTTTCTGCTACTGTGAAAAAAATTAAAAAATAAATAATAATAATAATAATAAAAAAACACTGCCCAGAGCAACCTGCTCATGAAAGGGTTTCTTTCCACTCACGATTTACAATCCATCATGGAGAAAAGTCAAGACAGGGGCTCAAGGCAGAAGCCTAGAGACAGGAATTGAATCAGAGACCACGGAGGAATGCCGCCTGTTGGCTGGCTGTCCCGGGCATGTTCTGCTACCTTTCCTATGTTCTCCCGTTCTAGACTGAGTTCTTCTGTATGAATGACCCAGAGGCCAGTCTGGTGTAAGCAGCTGCTCAGCTGGGAGCAACTCTCCTCGGACCTGTCTAGGTTTGTGTCAAGTTAAAATCTAACCAGTGCCTTTATTAAAGTTAAAATGCCGGGGCTGGCGAGATGGCTCAGCGGTTAAGAGCATTGCCTGCTCTTCCAAAGGTCCTGAGTTCAATTCCCAGCAACCACATGGTGGCTCACAACCATCTGTAATGAGATCTGGTACCCTCTTCTGGCCTGCAGGCATATATGCAGGCAGAATATTGTATACTAAATAAATAAATATTAAAAAAACAAAGTTAAAATGCCACAGTGTGGTTATCTTTCCGTGCCAGAAATCGGCATTAGTGGGTCCTTTCTTTCGTTCATGTTACTGAGCACATAGCTCACATTCATTAAAATAATGACAAGGAAGACTGTTTTCTAAGTTACCAAATGCTGGCATCTAATACTCTTTACTGAGAAACATGGTTGGTCCTTCTCACCTTGTCACCTAGAGCCTTTACCTTCCTCTGTTCTTTACCAAAAAAACCACACTCTTACGCTACAGCTATTTGTAGGAACTGTTAGCAAGTTTTTCTGTTTTATTTTTAAATTCGTGTGTGAGTGCGCATGTGCGTGTGTGTGCATATAAAGTGTCATAGCATATGTGTGGTGGTCAGAGGACAATTTGTGGGGAGTAGTTAGCTCAAAAACAAAAATAAAAACCTTTTTAACAAAAATATTTATGACTGCTTTTCTTCCCCTCTCCACAAGACAGGCAGATAAATTCTTAACAATAAGATTTGTGAGGTGGTTCAGCCGATGAAGGCTCTTGCTACCCAGCCTGAGGACCACAATTCAAGCATGTGGTAGAAGGAAGAAATTAGCCAATACTGACTGCCTGGTTGGGCTTAAGGCACACTCTGTAGGAGTGAAGGGGTGGCTGGTACTGGAAATCTGATCAAGAACCCACCATTGGGAAACCATAGGCTCCACGACTGAGCCTACTAATGTTGTTCTGCCAAATATCAAACTGCCTCTAGGTGTGTATCCCTTCGTGTAGATCAGTGAGTCTCTCAGACCTGAGCAGAGGACGTTTTGTGCAGTGGACAGTAGTTAATAAGGAAGACAGAGCAAAGAACACATGTCAGTGGGTGTTCAGCCACAAATGGAACATCTGTATCACACCCTCCCCCAAGGCTCGGGGACCACAATAGAAAATAAGGTAGAAAGATGACAAGAACCTGAGGTCAGAGAGGACCAGAGGCAAACACTGTCCTCTGAAAGTTACAGGGACCCTAAATTCAGGAACTCAACAATGGTGGTTGCAGGCAGAAGAACTTCAAGCGATCAAGCCAGTCGCCATTCTAACCTACAGAGGGAAGAGTTCACAAGCCTCCGCCTCTGACTGGGGAGCTAGAGACACTCTGTGACTTCTCTGCAAGGGACAGTCAGCTTTCATTAAAGGTGTGGGCCCTGGTGAGTGAGCCACACTCTGGTGGATGGTTCCACACCTGGGAAGAAATGGGTAGCACAGATTAGAGTTAATGGGTAACAGAAAAGAAAGAAAGAAAGAAAGAAAGAAAGAAAGAAAGAAAGAAAGAGAGAGAGAGAGGGAGGGAGGGAGGGAGGGAGGGAGGGAGGAAGGAAGGAAGAAAGACAGAAAGCTCTAAAGAACAGGCAAGGATGTAGATCTGGTAGGCGTTAAGGGGAGGAGTAGGGAGGAATATAATGAATACATACTGTTTGAAATGGCCAAAGGGTTAGTAAAATTATGTTTTCAAATTCACCATTGTGCTAGATCAAGGAAGCCCTTTCTGGCCTCTGTGCTCAGCAGTTTAGAAAAAGTGGGTAACTTCTCGGTCTCTCCCCTTTGACTCACAGTAGCACGCTGTTGTAACTACCACAAATAGAATTGTCAACCATTTCCCAGTAGATCCTGCTGTGCATCTTGAAACACAACGGCCCCCATAAAAGGGTCCAGTTGTCAACAGGGAAACTACATATGCAAAGAAGATAAATGTGGATAGGACTGTCATTTTGCTTGTTTGGACGCTTCCTTTATTCTAGTCCTAAAATAAGTTTTTTTCTGCTGAAACGCACAATCATTTTTCGCCCCAGAAGTCAGACAGGCCAGGCTAACGATGATTAGCCTTTTCCAAAAATAAAAACTATTTGGCAATACATGAAATAATTTTAATTAAATTCTTTCCTGGTTTACAACTTCAATTATTTTAATTTACAATCCATATACCTTTAAAACTATTAAGTAAAAGAAGTCCAATGTTTTAAAAGGATAACAGCATTAAATGGGTCTATCATTCAAGAAGACATCCAAAATCCTACAGAAAAAAAAATGATCAGCGTCATTCTTCATCAGGGGAACAGAGATTCAGACCACAGTGAGATGGTGGTGTGTGTTCAGTAGAAAACCCACCATTAGAAAGGGTGAGGAGAGTCTCACTGGGCATGGAGGTGGAAAAGATGGAATTCACACATGGTGCCCATAGACAAATATCTGGCAGTTTGTGAGAAAGCCAATGCGGGGCCATTAGGACACAGAGGAGGCAGATCCTTTGTATGAAAGAGCTTATTGCTACTCCAAGCCATACTGCTACTCCGAGTGGAATGGTGATTTACGGTGAGACTTAGGGTCACTTCTCTGTCCTTTATGCAACTCCTGCAAGCCACCGTTTGTCACTCAGACAGCCTAATAGAGCACCTACTATTGTTGATGCCTATATATTTCCCTTTCTGTCTTTAATCTTCTGTTTGCCCAAAGAATGAACCTGAGGTAGAAGTACTTGTATTTGCCCAGTTAACTGAAATGAATACTAGAACCCTGGTCTCTTAACTCCTTGTTAATGCTCTTTCTCTTCCCTTCAGATGCGATCTTCATTTGGGTTCTTGAGAGACGTTAAGTAATTCCAGAATCCGGATCAATTTCTCACCTTAATGACAAATAGATAGGTAGGAAAGTAGGCAGATGGATGGATGGATAATAGATAGATAGATAGATAGATAGATAGATAGATAGATAGATGAGACAGACAGACAAACTGACAGGATGCTTCCAAAGTGATGTCTGGGACCACCATTGCACCAGACTTTTTTTATTTTTTCAGGTTTTGGAAAACATATATTTTGAGAATAGAACCCAAATCTAATATGGAATTCAGTTGTGTTCCATATACAACTTATATACACAGCTAAGCAGTAATTTTATATAATATTTTAGTCACTTTGTACATAAGACAAAGTCCTTCACAATAGGTAGGTTTTAGGTTATGAATCATATTTGGAGTTCCCAGTGAGCAATCGGTCATCCTCATAGCACCTGATATAATGTATCTTAGTGCATACATAACACAAAAAAGTTATAAAGGTTGAGATGTGATTATATTTAAAATAAATTTTTGTTTATTTTTTAAACATTTATATAAACTGGAAATGAATTGAAAGTGCATGATATTGATAATACACCCTCATTGAGTTCAAGGTTAATGTCCTTAGTATGTACTGTTAAAACTCACTAGAGTTAGTAAAAGACATATGCACTCAAGTTTTTTAGATAGAGTCTAATAGGAGCAATTGATTTTCATAACAATTACCTAGAGCCCAATAAACAGCTTATACTTTAACAGCAACCCAAGGAAAAAGACTGAAATTAGGTAAGATAATCTATTCTAGTAAGACTTTTTTTTTAGGTTTTGTAAAATATATTGAAGAGTTGGGTTATGAAGCCAGAAGAGTTTTGAGTCACCACCCTCGCCGTAGGCTGTAGAGATAACACAGGCCCTAAGGTAAAGAGGGGTATCTTCTTAAATGTGCAGAGAGTATTTCTAAACCATATCTTGCTAAACAAACTAAAGACATAAATATAACATCTCTACGACAGTCTGTAGGTGACTGAAGGCCCTGAGCTGGTCTAGCTCACAACCAACACTTGCTAAAAATACCACTTAAGCACATTTATTTTTAAGCCTCTGGAAAATGGAGAAAATAATATCTACTACAACTTAGTGATTGCTTGGAGACTTAATAAAGTTACCCATATACGTGGCTGGACAAGCTATCTGGCATCTAGAAACCACTGCTTAAATTCTGCCAAGTCTGCTGCACAATTTACAAAAGCCAGGTCAAAGAACCAGCCTAGATGCCCATCATCAGCTGAATGAATAAAGACACATACACAGTTTTAGAAAAATGCAACCAAAAGTGAAACTGTGGCATCTGCAAGAAAGTGGATATAGCTGGACAGTATTGCGTCAAGTGAAGTAGGCTTGACATGAAAAGTATCATGTGGCGCCTAGATTTCAAGTTAT